CGCCCTATAGCAAAAACCTCTCCCAAAATAAATAAATAAATAAATAAATAAATAAATAAATAAATAAATAAATAAAAATAAAAAGCAGAAATTTGGTTAGTTGGAAAGCTAAACTTCCAGCTTGCTCAAATAGAATTACAGAAAGGCCAGACTGTGTTTTTCCCAGAGATGCAGTCCACTGGAATCACCACGCTGGATCGCCCTTAGAGTATCGGTGTCCTGAGATAATAAGGAATCCAGGCTCCTTAGACAGGCCTCTGTCGTCCTGCCCACCCAGTCAGAGATTGGTGGGTGTGTGGAGGGATGCCACCACCAGCAATGGTAGCCTTGAGAGGGTCTAATTCATCTCCATGAACAGCAAGCTGCAAGGTGAGGTGTAACGAGGGGTAATGCACTGTGCTTTTAAGACTTCTGGTACATTTCCCGCCAGTTCACGTACCTCTGGGATGAGCTGCTCCAGGCTCGCAGGGCTGTGCACAGCAGCCGTGGCACCCACGTCCAGGACTGGTCGTCCTAGGTTTCGGGTGTCGAGGAGTATGGCCCACCGTGAACTGTAAGCTGTTATCTGCGAGCAGGAAAGCGCCTTTGTCTGGGCCTTTCTGGAGTCCGTCCCAGCCTTACCCCAGCCATCGCAAATTCTGCTGAAGCCCACACAGCGAGGTGGGAAGAGAGCTAGCCAGGCACAGCGACACCACCCCACTCTTGTTGCACTGCCATTCAAACGCGCATACGCTTTTAGGCTATAGTAGTCTCCCCTTACCACAGGGGCTCTGCGCTGAGACCCCAAAACCGTGAATCCTGTATGGACACTTGGCCCATGTCCAGGTCAACGTGTGCAGGTCCACTTCTACAAATACCGCAAGGTGTTTTCCTGTGATCATCCTCTCGGTAGCTTCACTGCAAGAACATAGTGAGTAATTCATGGAACACTCACGTGTGTTAGCATGTTCATCGAGAAGACTTCCCATACACAATTGGTCATTAGGACTTAAGTTTTTGGACTCTAAAGTCATATGCCGAGCTGGCACCGTACTCAGAGGTTCAGCCCTGTGCATAAGGGGCAGATCTTGGCTGGCCACCATGGTTCAAAGCCTAGCACTAGCAGCTCGAAAAATGTGTGTGTGTGTGTGTGTGTGTGTGTGTGTGTGTGTAGGGTCCTGATAGGATGAAGAGATGAAGGAAAAAGACTGTGGTGTGACCAGGCCCACTGGAGGGTTTTCTCTCTGTCTCCCTTGCAGTCTTTGGCACGCATACATATACCTCCTGGTGAGAGAGAGAGAGACAGGCAGATAGACAGGAAGGAGAAAGAACCATGCAGGCCCAGCCTCAGTGGGCAGGCCAGTCAGCTGCTGTGCTTCGCAGGGTGGGGCCCATGGGAAGCCCAAAGTCTGCACCTAGTCCACCCTGAGGGCTAGGCACTGTGTCATGTGCTGTAGCCTCAGTGATCTGGGGAGGATGAGGCCTCAGGCCTGGAGCTCGCAGGAACATGGGTGATAGAGCGAGACTATCTCCAAAGCGGCCGCACAATGGCACACAACTATGGTCCCAGCTGGGAGGCCGGGACAGGATTGCAGCGTGGCAAGACCCTTTTAAAATAGTAAGCGGAGTTATGTGCATATTTTTGACTGCATGGGGGATGGCCAGCACCTCAGCCCACTTTTTCCCAAGGCTGTCTACACGATTTTTAGAGATGGTCACTAAGTGAGTGCTCTCTTACAACATGGAGTGTGGATATAGGTGGATGGTTCATGTTCTGGGTGGGATGGACTGGGATGGTGGGAGATTTCATCCCACCACTCAGAATGGCGTGCAGTTTAAACCTTACACATTGTGGGACCAGCAGATGGAGTAATGGTTACGTCGCTGAACTCCCACGTAGTCAAACACGGTTCCAGTCTCAGACTCGGTGACTTAAAACTCATGCCAGGTATGGGTGCATGTGTGCCCAAAATCCTGAGAGGAGAATTTAGGAGAAGTGATTGTGGCGTGGCCATCTCTCCGGGTAGGGGAGGGTGGTTATTTCGTTCTATCTCTCTGTCTCTCCATTGAGTGCACATGTCCTGTAGCAAAAATCTCTCTCAGTTAAAAAATTTTTAAAAATTTACACATTGTTTGTTTCTGGGGTTTTCCATGTAGTATTCTCAGACCTCAGTTTACTAGTGACAACTGAACCCCTGGAAGGGGAAGCCCTAGGTGGGGGCTACTGTACAATACTGTGATAAACGAGGATTTGCACATACTTTGTTTTTTAGGGTAACAGTAGTCATCTCTTATGTTTTCCCCAAGGTGATATAAAGTTGTTGGTGGCTCAAACTATTTATGCTTTATATAGATTGTTGACATTGCTATAGTAAACATTCTCATAATTTCACTTTTTTGGCTTTTTAAAAAAAGTTTGTTTATGAACTGAGAGAGAAGAGGGAGACGAAATAGGGACCTGACAAGGTCCCTTCATGCCCTACTGCTCCCCCCACCGCCTTCCAGCCGGGACCAAGGTCCTGGGTGTGCTCACATTCAGGTTGGCCTGAGAGTGAAAGCCTGCCCCTCGGCCCTGGGTGGGGCCACGGCTTGTTGGGCTTTTCTCAAGGGGCCACAGCTAGGCCTTGCCCTCATGCTTCTTTCTTTTCTTAACTTTTTGTTATTTTTGCATACACGTTTCAGATTCACGAGTGATTGTTACCTACCATTGGGTAATACTTAAATAGCATTGCAACCTTTACATGGGTTACTACTTAGATTTTAGCTCTGCTTTCTCAGTGTAAAAAAGTACTAGAATAAATTTATTTAATGTTTTCCCTGGAAACTGTTTTTGTTCTGTTTTATTTTCTCAACTTCTTTTTTAGTTTGACTATAAGGAGCGTGTGCTCACCAGAAAGACAGAGACAGAGAGACAGAAAGTGAGAAATCACCCCCCAGGGGGGATGGCCATGCCACAGTCCCTTCTCCTCCATTCTCTTCTCGGGATCTTGGGCACACTCATACATGTGCCTGGTGTGAGTTTTAAGCCACTGGGTCCAGGACTCAAACCATGGTTGACTACATTGGAGTCCAGAGACATAACTGCTAGTCCCTGTTTTCTCAAGGTTTTTACATTAGGGCATGGTGTGTGCACTCACTGGAGAGGAGAGAGACAGAGAGAGGCAGTGAGAGAGAAAGGCATAGATCACCCCTGGGTGATGGCCATGCCATAATCCCTTCTCCTCCTTTGTCCCCCTGGGATTTGGGGCATGCACACACATACACCTGGTGTGATTTTTCAAGCTGCCAGCACTAGGACTTAAACGGCAGTTGGCCGTGTGGGAGTCTAGCACCTTAACCACTACGCCACCTGCAGGCCCAGAAATTGTTTTTTGGCAAGGTCCTGCATTCCAGTCTAGTTGGGACCATACACGTCATCTTAACTTTTATTCTCTAAGTTCTGTGCCTTCCCTCTTTGAGTATATACTTCTCTGTTCATACTGAGAAAACTCCTTTGCATGTGATCTTTCTTGTGAGATGACGTTCGGTAAGCTCCTACAGCAGCATTTTCATACCGTTGCCATTCAGCCTCTCAGTACAGAAAGCGGCCTTTCCTCTTAGAGCTGACCACTTACCCACATGGCTGATAGAGAGCCGTCTAGTCGAGGGAGAGTACTTTTTAACCGCCAAAGCAATAGAAAGTGCACGACGCTGTCTCTACTCACCACCTGGAGGGAACCCAGAGAGCATCAGAAACGAAGAAGGGAAAATGAACACCATTTCTGACTTGCAGATGATTGTTTTTGGCGCTGAGAGTCTTTGTCAGCTGGAGTGGCAGGGTGTCTCGGCCGGGGGCTTCACTTTGGTGGTATTTCCCTGGAAGGCTCTCGGCTGCACCCAGCCCTCCTCTGGCCACCGTAACTTCTCGAAGGGCAGTATCTTGAGAGGATGAGGTGCTGGGAACTGTAGGCCAGAACCAGTGAGCTGCTGCCCTGAAGTAGGGCTCATTTGCGAAGACGTTGCTTTTCCCTGGGAGGCCGGATATGTAAAACAGAAGCGCATCTCTGGCCTGCCTGGCTGCATGGCCGTATCTCAGGAACTGTCCTGGACTTTGCACAGGCTCAGGTTACTGTCCTGCGAACAGTCAGGCTTTACTCTTCCCTTGTAAACAAGTCCGGAGATCCGCAGCCCAGGGCCCACGGGGAGGGGTGTGTCCCAGAGTGTCACCATCAATGGCACTGCCTCCTGAGTTCAGCCTCCTTTTTGCATAGTGCTTCACACTGGTGAAATTCTCGTACCATGGTATGGGCATCTATACCTTTTTTTTCCCCCCTTAGTTTTTGTTAGGAGGTGTGTGTATTTACCAGAGAGAAACAGAGAGAGAAAGAAAGAAAGGGAGAAATCACCTCAGGAGGAAGGCCATGCTGCAGTCCCCTTTCCTCCAGTCTCTCAGGATTTGGGCATGCATGCACACAGGCCTGGCGTGTTTTTTAAGCTGTTGGGTCTGGGACTTGAACCACGTAGTCGTTCATGTAAGATCCAGCACCGTGACCACCATGCCACCCGCTGGCTCTATTGTCTCTGCATTTTTAAGTGTCTAGTTCAGTAGCATTGTGGACCGTCACATGGATGAGCAGCCATCACCACGGTCTACCTTGAACCCTCTTTACGCTGCCTCATTGATTCCTTGCACCTGGGGAGCACTCACCCTCCCACCCAGGCCTGGCAACCATCAGTCTACTTCCTGTCTCTGAATTTGACTCCTCTAGGTACCTCACAGGAGGGCATCATGCAGTATGTCACTACTGCTTTGTGTCACTTCGCGTAGTGGCTGCCTTTGTCCATCCATGCTTAGCTCGTCAGAACTTCTTTAATATCCGTGAATGTGTATCCTACAGTCTGCTTATCCGTCCGTCCATTACTGGACACTTGGCCATTGTGAAAAATGTTGTTCTGTGGGGACCAGCAGTTAGCGTAATGGCTATGTCGCTGGACTCCCACGTAGTCGCCCGCCGTTCGCGCCCCGGACCCTGGTGGCTTAAACTCACGCCAGGCGCGTGTGCTTGCGTGCCCCAGATCCCGAGAGGAGAATGGTGGAGAAGCGATTGTGGCGTGGCCATTCCCCGTGGGGGGTGATTTCTCACTTTTTGTCTCTCTGTCTCTCTCTGTCTTTCTGGCAAGTGCATGCGCCCTATAGCAAAAACCTCTCAAAAAAAAAAAAAAAAAGTGCTGCTTTATGGGCTCCACCCTAGCCACCCTGTCAACATTCTAGGCGGGAAGGAGGCGGGAGACGAGAGCTGAGTCAGCCTCTCTCTAAGGCTCTTCTCCTGGAGTCCCACTCGTCGATTTCTCTGAGCCAGAAGTGGTGAATGCCAGTGGTACTAAAATGGTTATTATCTATCAAGCGCATCTGTGTGCCAACACACAGCAACATACTGGGCCATCAGAAAAGTCGTGACCTATTTTTCTATGTTTTTCTATCCAAAAGTGCATCGTGACCTTTCCGACGACCCAGTATAATCCATACAATCTTCAGAGTAAACCTGTGAGGTTGGGTGTGTTTTGCAAAGAGGAAAGCAAGGTGCAGAGAGGCTCGGTGAGTTGCTGGTTACTAGCATAGGCAGTCACCTAGCTTTGCATCAAAGCTTGTTAGAGGGAAACCTGGGATTTGAACCCAGGATTCTGGCTTCAGTCTGTGGTGTTAGCTCCTGTCACCTTTATGTGTTTACAAGGTAGGCTGGAAATGTGGTTTCTCCCAACTAGGCACGTTTCCTGGCCCAGCCAAATCAGAATTGTCCTAGTAAGGAGAGAAAGGGGGATGGACATCAGTGGGTGCCTGGCAGTGCCTGCCGTGAGCGCCGGCTCCTGGGACCTGTCTGTGTCACTCACTGCTCAGAAGCCACATGGCCTCGGGCCTCTGAGAATGAAGCAGCTTCATAGCTCTGGGCTCCTATCCACTCTCTCTGTTGTGCTGGCCAAGACTAACCACCACCAGCCAGACCATTTTGGTTTAACCATAAAACAGGAAGTAGACCACAAACAAGCGAAAACATCACGTCTCCCACTCAGATGAGCATGATCTTCCAAACACAGGGAGCTCCGAGTGGCTGCCTACTTAGAAACAGTGT